TTCAAATGAAGGAAAAGAGATGAAAATTTGGGGTAGAAGAAAATTGGCCTTTGAATTCAGTAAGTGAATAGGAATTGTCTTAGTTTCCCAAAATAAGAATTTTTTGAATGATAAAAGTTTTGGATCATGACCCTAAAATTTCCTATAAAATGCTATGATATTACAAATAAATTCTTGAGTTTTGCTTGTGATTTCCTGGAATCTTTCATTTATTCAATTATTTTTGAGGAGCTAAAAAAGGTTTCGTCCAAAAATATCTCCCCTGCAATTGCTGTCAAAACACCTGACATCCTCACTATCACTTGGAGAAAAGGTGCTCGGTGCAAGCCCATGATGATAGAATAGCTAATTAAGCCCCAATCATGCATTAATATCTTAAGGATAACTGATTATTAAAATGTCAAGATGAAGGTGGCCCGTGGGATTCAGGCTAAAACCACTTTTAAATTCAGGAATGAGGATGGGATTAGGAGAGAACTCTAGCCAAACTCCAAAACCATCAAGGGGTGAAAGACATTCAATGAGATCCCTCATTCTACAGGTGAGGGGACTGTTTCAAACTGGCTAACAGACTTGATACCAAAGTGGAAATCACAGCCATCCGCCCTGACCTCAGGGTTTCTGGCTTTTCTGTGGTCACTGCTACTCCCTGGACCTGAGGCCAGGACCCTGCAGGGCACCAGAAAGCTTTGATTCCCTGTGAATGTCTGTAAAAGCCACACAGGAGAGCAGAGGAAAGGATACAGCACAATAGACAGGGATCAGCTACTGTAAAGACGCCGGGGCAGTTGGAGCTTCCACAGGTGTCTTCAGCTTCCTAACGGTGTGGGTCTCCACAGGCCTCCACTGGAAGTATCCAACGCTGGTCTCAAAAGCTGCTCTGTCCAACATGGTGGCTGGTAATCACAACTTCAATTTAAATTAATGAAATGTAATGAAAACTAAACCAATCACACGAGCCACATTTTAAACATCAAGTAGTCACCTTTAAAGGCACAGGCCCTTTTGTCCTTGCAGGAAGAGTGCTGGAGAGTTCCAGGGAGCAGTGCTCAAGGCAAGGGGCTGCCTGGGTCTTTTTTGATGCACTAAAGCACCAAAAAAAATCCATCCATGTAGCAGAGGGAGATGTAGCTCTTGCTAAAGCCAATCAAGGTGGAGGAAATGATGCTTTTTTAGTTCTCTTTGCCAAGGACTCTAGGGATGTTTGCATCTGCATGTGTTGCTGCTGCGTTTTTGCTGCTGTTTATTCTGTTTCTTTTGTTTTCATTCATTTTGTTTCTTTCTGGCTCCTGCCAGACCTGATGTCCACATCTCAGGATGAGATGTAATACACACAAGGTTTGGAGTGAAGATTTCAGTACTTTATGGACATCTTCAAGGATTCTGGGAATCCACCAAGAATGATACCAAATAGAAGCTGCTAGATAGTGTCCAAGAATGTTGAAAACAAACATTGGCTATTTTCATCAAAGTGATTGACTGGAAAACCTGGACTTCAGTGTCAGACAAAAGAGCGAGTAAAACACGAGGACCATTACATGTTAACTGACTCTTTGCTTCTGAGACAGATGTAGCTAAACAGTAACAAGGGCAGGGTGGTAAATTATAGATTAAAATGCGATGATGCCTCGTATCTGCTGCTTTCAGGGGTGAGAGCTTGTTGATGTGAGGCCTCGAGGAAGGGAAGCACCATGTGACAGCCAGTGTCTGCTGCAGAAGCGTGAAACTTCTGGAGCCTTTAGATTCTGTGTTCCCAGGAGGCAAGGCCTCTGTGTCTGACTTGCTTCCGTACTTTCTGCATCGTCATGCATCTGTGAGCATCTGATAGGTACAATGTAATGAACAGAGAGAGAAAGCCAAGCTGTACCTGAATCAAGTTTCAGAGGCTGACCGTGATGGTGGGGCCTCAGCCAGATGCAGCCCCATCCACGCCATCCACTGGTCTTTTGAATACTTTCCCTCAAACCTTCTGTCCCCCACGGCGATTGTTTTGTTTTATTTCTAACAAAAATGGAACTCAGGATCTTGTGCTTGCCAGGCAGGAGCTGTTCCACTAAGCTACATCCTTGGCTCTTTCCAGAGTTTTCAAACAAGATCTGGGCTGTGAAGGCTGCCGAAGGTCCCAAGATAAAGCTGGGAACCACTTCCTACCCCTAAATGAATCTTTAGGGGTTTGGCTGTATACAGTGAGGGAAGCCTACTCCTACTCCTTAATTGTGAATAATAATAGATAATTCCATACCACATTGGTTTGGAATGTGGTACGGGATTATCTATTATTATCCACATTTCAGGAGTGTCCTAGGTGAGTGGTGTGGTCAGGAATACCAGCTTCACTGGTTAGCTCTTTTCTAACCAGGTCTGTGTTTCAGTCTGTAGGCCTGCTATTTCCAAGGCTGAGACTAGCCTGGTGGTAGGCAGGCTTCCCTAACTAAGATCAAGGATAAGGCCTTCCACCCTACAGAAAAGTGTGGAGCCTGGCTCCTCACCACTGCGCCTCTGGTGGAGCAAATTTGGTTGTATACAGCCAAACCCCTGAGATTCTAGTCCAGACAAAACAAGGCTGGCAGGTCTGAGCCAGTCCCAGTCTGGAGAATTTCCCTAAGGATTCATTTTCCATGAGGCACACGCGGGATTTCTGCAGCATTCCCAAGAGTTCTTGGAAGTCCTGGATTGAAGCAGTTCTTAGCCCTCCCTGGACCCATGGACTCATGTTCAGAGCCGGCTGGGGAAAGCTCGCCAGTTTCCTTGGTCTGATGGAGCACTTTGAGCTCTGGAAAGGAAAAAGCACCACCAAGATGACCACAAGTCGAGTTGGCATTATTTATTTAGTGCTGCCCCCTAGAGGACTGGAAAATGCTCTGGCTGCTTGGAACCCTCAGGGCTCCTTACCTAAGGCTGTCCTCCCTCACCCAGCTGTGGAAAGTGAGGCCTCCATGCAAGTGGACTGCGGAGAGGTCCTGCAGCAGTACTGCAGAACCTTCCAGGAAGTAAGTTAGTGAGACAGCCTCTCTGAAAATGAATGAATGCTCAGTGCTGGAAGCTGGGCCCAGGGACACAGCACTGAAACTGACCTTCCCTGACTTCGTCCTGCCTGGACCAAGGATCCTGGGAGTAGCCTAATGAAGACCCTCAACGCTGAGGGCCCTAAAGCCAGAAGTCCAGGGTCCTCATGGTTTCAGTTTCCTTTTCCTCTTTCTCTTTTCCCTATGCCCTTCACCTAAACTGCGGCTTTAGTGTTCTCGAGGCAGGATTCTGCCACCTGAAGCACTTGCTAGGATGGTTGAGCATACCTGAGGCTGGTGGGGGAGGTGACACTCAGTGACCAAATGACCCTTTCTTGCAGATAGTGTTATTTGTCCTTTGATTGGCATCTCGGTAATGACCATAAGCAGGACTCTCTGTTTACCATTCAGAAGAGCAACTGCCTCTTTACTTCATCAAATATTTGGGGTCAGGAGTCATTCTTTACTATAGAACTTTAACTAGGAAAAATGTAAATATGAAGTTTTTAGTAATGTGGATGAGCTCTCAAGCCAAGAAAGGAAAGGAGGGAAGGAGGGAGTAGAGAAGGAAGGCGAGAAAGGAGAAATGGGACTGAAAGGTAGCCTTGCTGGGGTGGAGGCCTCTGCTCCCTGTCCTTTGTAGTCAGCATCTGAGATCAGCAGTGTGATAATCAGCCTGCGGATTTCCACTGTGAAATCTCTCTATGGCTTGGCTCAACTAGTTGCAAATCACTTCTGATTCAATTTTGTTTTGGTTATCTCAGTGTAAATATCATGCAAGTGGGAGTTACAGATTTTTCAAACACTAAAAGTGATCAACAAAGCTAATGGCAAGTCCAGATAAGGAAGGAAACCACCCAGAAGAATCCACAAGTACAAGCAAAGTGAACATGGCAGAGCCAGAGGTGTGTGTTTCCTGCCACCCAAACTTTATTTTTCTTCCTCAGCAGACTGGCAGAAAGGGGAGTTGGAGGATGTTATTCAGGCGGTTCTGTTCGGTCTTCATGATGGAGTAGTTAAGAGGTGCCCAGGAAGGAGACCTTTGGAATCCGACAAGCCATCCTCATAAGGAAAGATGGGAGTGTTCGCAGCTCCCTGCAAACAGTTTCACGCCTCCACTTAAAAGGAATTGGTATACTATACTGCTGTAGTCTTTCTCTCTGCATGTGACCACGTGGGGGAGGGGGGATGCAAACAGAAAGCTACAGTAAGGATCTGAGAAGAAGCTTCCTGCACCTGAATTTTGGGAAAAAGGGGGGTCCACTCTAATCACCTGGAGACATTTTTCACTGAAAAGTCTTCCTCGGTCTTATGGCCACAAGTTAAGGGCGCAGGGCTAACTGTGTCCTGAGCCAGAGAGCAGGGGAGTCTGTTTGGGACACAACAAAGGATCTGAGCGGCAATTACAGGGGGTGTTTGGGGTTCTATTCAGCACGAGCTGACAGTGTGTGTCGCCGCCACGCACTGCTGCCTGCGCGAACACATGGCCGAGCTGCCGGCTGACTCCTGCCGCAAACGCCGCGGTGCGCCACCCGACTCCTCCGGCAGCGCCATTGAGCGTGGTATTGTGCTGCGTTCAGCGTGTGTGGCACCGGAGTCACAGAAAGCAGACGAACAAGGGTTGCCCCTCAGTTTCGCTGAGTTTCCCTCCAGCGAGGGCGACGCCGCCAAGGGCAGTGCGCCCTGGAGGTGCCCGGGGGCGCGACGCCCCAGCGACCTGGCGACCCCGCGCGGAGGTGCGCAGGGAAAGGGGGCGGCGGGGCGCGAGCTGCCTCCGCTTAGCTCGGGCGGCGGCCGGCAAAGTCGCCCCCTCACCGGCAGAGCTGGGTGCCGCGGCTCACGGCTCTGCGCCGCGCGTCTCCGCGGCTGCCTCTTTAATCGGGAACACAGAAGGGGCGGGTCCTGAGCCGGCGCGTAATCGGATAGCTCTGCCGCGGCTCTGACATCCACATGCTGCTCTGCCTGAAAAGGCAGGGGGGAGCCGGCGGGGAGGCAGAGAAGGCGAGCGAGGCACCGGCCCGCAGCCCGCCCTGAGAGCACATCCTCAGATGCGCAGCCCCTCGGCGAGGTGGAGGTGAGGGCGGGCGCCAGCCCGCTCGGAAAGGGGCGCGCTCTCCCGGGCGATCCCGGCACCGCCGCGGCTCCGGCAGCCAGCGCTCGCAGCCGCCGCCGCCGCAGCTTCCTTCCGCAGACTCCCCTCGAGAGGCTGGCCGAGCGGGTGTAGTCTTGGGAGAGGCTCCCGCTAGGGGAGCCCGGCGAAGACGGGAGCCGGCGCCCGCCTCCCACCCCGGCTGTCCGGCCAGCGGTGCCTCCGCCCGCGGGTCCGTCCCGGTGCCTGGGCGCGGGGATCAGTTTTCGCCTCCGAGATCGCACGGCTGCCTGGGGCCCGGGTGATGCCCGAGGCAAGTCTTGGCTTTGATTTTTATTATCCTTACTATTTTACGCTTGGCTTTCGGGAAATACTCGCGATGTTGTAAGATAAAGGAAATGACACTTTGAGGAACTGGAGAGCGTAGATGCATTTTGGTTTTTGAGACAAACCCCGTTCTAACCCTCTTGGCTGATTTCAAGAACTGCCCTCCTCGGGTGAGGTGGGGATTCCAGCAAGAATAAAGGTGAAGAAGGGTCGCCAGGACCCTGGAGGGAAACGCTGACCGTTAGAGACCTTTGCAGAAGACACTGCCAGGAAGAAAATAAGAGAGACAGAAAACACAAAGACTTATAATTATACAAGAATCCTACAAGCCCAGCCCTGGAGAAAGCTTCCCTCTCCAAAATGGATCTGTTTCCTCTCACCTGGGTTTTCTTAGCTCTCTGCTTTTCAGGACCTGAAGTGAGAGGCCAACCAGGTAAGCCCCTCAAAGTTTTTTCCTGTTCATTCTAACATGATCCCCCCTTTAAAGGCGCCTGCGAACGCGGGAAGACCACGCAGAATGGCTCAGGAGGAGGACCCTCAATACTCTATAATTTAAAGCAAGAGCCCAGCCGGGCCTCCCTGTACACAAGGGCTGCTGAGACCCAACTTTTTTCTCCTGCTAGGAGTGAGTGTGTGTGTGTGTGTGTGTGTGTGTGTGTGTGTGTGTGTGTGTGTTGTAACAGTCTTTGGCGGTGTTCGGATGTCACATATGGACTGAATCAAAGGTTTAAAAATACTACAAAGCCTTTGCATTACAGTTTTTGGGGGATTTTCCCCCCCTGTCTTGAAGCAGAACACATCTCCCTTGAGTTTCTTCAACCTAGCCAGTGAAATATAAATCATTTGCATTCCCTCCTCTTAACTACATTGAGCAATGTTAACTGAAGGGCTTGGAAAGCACCAGTAGTTTTGGTTTTCAGATGCTGTAGATTCTTTTCGGAATGGATGGATGTGCCTGGAACCCACCGTGCTCAGGCTGGCAGAGCAAAGTTGGCTTGCAGCTGAGATAAGGGGCCATTCACTGGGCGCAGCTGGCCACCAAGGAGGTTGGTGGTCTCTGCTGTCCTTCCTGCATCCCTGCGCTTTCTGGGAAAGTAGATCGTGTTCTTTTAAGATTATTATTAAATAAAACAAACGGCAGGGCCCTTGAAGGTCTCTTGTTCCCAGTGAAGTGGTTAGAAACTTTTGAGTGGAATTTGTTCGTAACCCCAGCCAAGAAGGGTGTGTGGATATTGTGGAGATAAGCACTGCGAGGCCGAGACCAGTGAGGAGCCAGCGTTTGTGGGGAGTGGCAAGGGGTCTGCTCCAGGGAAAGGGGCTCTGGTTTCAGGGGACCCAGGGGGGCTGGTCCTTCATTCCTGGGATACTAGGTGAGCCTCTTTCCTCTCTGACAACAGTGCCTGAAATCTTACAACAAAACTCTTCAGTAGCTGCTACAGGTGATTTGGGATGGGAAACCATATTTGGAGAAAACAGGACAAGGGTAGAGAGAAAATAAGTGCCTTTGGCCCAGGGCACTTCAAAGATGACAGCTTCAGTGGTGGGGCAGCCTCCCGGACACCTTCCAAAGGCCTCAAGCCTTAAAGGGGGAGTTTTGTTCCTGTGGGCTGCTGCTCACAGCCTCTCCAAACACAAGACTGAGGACTGCCTTGGGCACCCAGATCCAGCTCTTCGCTTCTCCTTCCCTACCATAACTGGTCTCCTGACAGCCGCAAATCCTGTCCAAGGGGATGGTTCCAGGTCCCACTTGGGGAGATTTTTCTGGGCCTCCCATTCCTTCTGGCCTTAATTCTAAATTCCTGGCCCGAAGAGAAATTAAATTACCTCTCACAGACCTGGATGCTTTATAAATTATGTATGTTTGTGCAATTTGCTCTGTGTGCGCGCGCGGGCACGCGCGCCGTGAGAATGCCCACGGTATTATGTATTCAGGCGCGGACACCAGTAGGCCCCGGCACGCGAGTGCGCGCACACTAGCACACACACTACACACCCACATGCCCACATAGACGCACTTCAGGTTGCCTATGCTGAACAGAGCGGGAGAGATTGTGAATACTCGGGGACAGCTCCTACCCCAGATGTTCACACATCTGTCTTTGGGCAGCGTGGAATGCGTGTGTGCGACACCGATCGGACCCACTCCCGCTCAGCCACCTGCCTCCCGCGTTCTCTGTAGAGCCCCCTCCCCTCGCACCCCCTGGCCGCGCTGCGTCACTTCCAGAAGAGCCGGAGCGCGCGGTGCGTGGCAGGTCACTCTCTAGGAGGCCGGGAGCGGCTTCAGGGTGGGACCTGGGGCCGGGGCCTCCCCAGCCAGAGTAAATACTTCCAGCCGCCCCAGGGTGATCGCAGGCCATTGGCTGTTCAGGCTTTCAGCCAGGGCAACTAACTGGCACCCAGGGATCTGGTTATGGGTGGCAAAGGGCGAGGCCACGGTAGACCTCTGACTCACCGGTGTGCACCAGCTAGGAGGGGTGTCAGCCCAGCCGCCGCAGAGGCGGGAGGGCCCACTGAGAAAAGGAATCTGGGAAAAGCGGGAGAAAGATGCGCGCCGGAGAGCACCTAAGAAAATAATCCGAGGTCCCGGCACGCGACCGATGGCGATGGCGGGCGTCTGGGAGGCCGCTTCGGCGCCGCGCACCCGGGTGCCCCTCTGGTCGCCCGGGCACCTCGCCAGGTTGCAGCGCGGCCGCCTGTCCCGGGGCTTGGGGACTCGCGGCGGCTGCAGGTCCCGCTCCGAGCGCCCCCTCCTGCCCCGCTCGCCGCTGTGCGCCGCAAGCTCGCCGCAGCCCCGAGAGGGCGGGCGCTGAGGGGCTGGGGCCGGCGGCCGAACCTCCCAGGCCAGCCTAGCTGAGCGGCGGGAAGCCGGGTGGGATTTCAAAGCCGAGGCCGGAGAGAGGCGGCCAGGAGCCGGGCTGCGCAGCCCACCGGGGCGCGCGCTACTGGCACGGGCTCGGGAAGCTGTGCGCCCCGAGCGCCCGCGCGCGCAGAACAGGTGAAGAGCACGCGGCGCGGCTTCCACGTGGTGGGCACGCGGGGCCCCGGCCCCAGTCCCCGCTCCCACCCCACCCCCAGCGCCGTCCCTAACGCCGCATCGATTTGTTTGGGCGACGCAGCAGAAACAGAGCTGAGCAATCCATAAACATTCTATTAGGCAAAAAATATTCCCAGCGAAAGCAAAACCGAGGCTCGAGCCTCCGCCAAGTTGGCTTGCCCCCGCCTTCCCCCGGCTGAGGACACCCCCGGGAGGAAGCCTGCGGCGTTTCCTCCCCCGCCCGAGGCTGGGAAGTTCTGCGCGGCTGCAGCTCTGCGGTCCGCGGCGAGGTCCCCCGCCTCCCAGCCCGCCCCCCCCCTCCCATTTTGCTTTTCCGCGCGAGAGAAAGCGAAACAGCATTTACGGCCCGTGCTTCATTTTCACTGGCTGATTTCTTCTGAATCTCAATGCAAGTTGGCAGAGGCGAGGTGTGCGGTGACTAAACCCCCGCCCCGCCGCGGGTGGCTGCACCCAGGTCTTTCCCTCCGGGTCCTAGGCGTCCGGCGGCTGGGTGGGGGGCCCGGGAGAACTACAGCCCAGGCGAGGAAGGAAGGGGGATGGAATGGATCGTCTCCCCTCTGGGAATAACCTGGGCGTGGTGGGGAGAATCAGCTCTGCACCCAAGTTTAGGGGATCCCGCCCATCTGTGCTGCAGCTTCTGCGGCTGCGGCTGCGTTTCTTCTGCAAAGGTAGGGGGCGGGCGCTTGCATGTGCACGCCGCCGGCCCCCGCCCTCCGCCTCTAAGCTTTCGGTTTCAGACGCAGGGAGCCCCCTGGCGCTAGCCACTCGGCGGCAGCCACCGGCCCGAACTCCCCTTTACCCGATAATCAGGATCCACCGGGGGGCTGGGGTTTGCTCAGGAAATCACTGGGATTCGACAATGAGTTCTTCAGACAGCGACTGCTCCAGCCCTAATGTCCCCACCTCCTGGACACACTGCTCGGGCCCCAAGGAACCCAGACCCAGCCACTGTCTCCCCCTTCCTCCCTTTGATCTGTGCTGGGCTGTAACACCATTGCCATGGACACGGACTGACTCAGTCAATTCAGCCTTCCGTCGGGACTGGCTGATCAGATAAGAGGTGTAAATTGGCTGTGGGAGACTGGTCCAGGTTCAAACAAATCCTGAAGGAGACTCAGGGACCATCTAGGCGCCAGGATAGGGGTTTGCAGAGTGTTTCATTTAGCATCTCTCCCCAAAATGTGGGATGGCATAATGTGCAAGTAAAACAGTAAAAGCTTAGATTCTTTACAGACAGCCTTCCCTGGGCTCTGGGCACCGGTCTCCTGTGCACGTTAAGTAAGTGCCCACTAAACTTTCTCCCAGAAGCAGGCACTGGAGGTGGAGAAGACTTCTTTGGCCCTTTGCCAACACAACACACAGTTCAAGCAGTGGGGTGGGGAGAGGTCCCCGCACGGCTCTGGGCAGGCCCCAGCTTGTCCAAGCCCACACCCTGGTTGAATTGTGAATGCCCCGCAGGGGGACCTGGGGTTGAAGTTTTCTGTCACCCACAGAGCCTCACACAGAGAGCCACAGAGTACCCAAGTGGCAAACGCAGGACTGGAAAGCTATTGTGGCTAGAGCTCTCCCAGACAGGACTCCTGCTGTCTATCCAATGGCTCCTGGCTCCCCCGCTGTGAAACGTGCTGTCCAAAGTCGGCTCCCCAGAGACCGGTTCCTACCTTTGAGGCGGAGTAAATGCCAGGAATACAAATGCCAATTCATAGGCAATGAGGCAGGAATGCAAACACTGGAAGTCTGGGTCAGAAGGGAGGGAGACACCTAGACTGGATGGTTCTGAGAACTCTGGAAGATAGCCCTTAGTTAAAGCAATCAAAAGACTAGATCCACCCAGAGGTGGTCCCATTGTGGGACAATTCTGAGATGACAGAATTCAAAAGCCAGGGTCATGGGTACAAAGGTTACAGGAAGCATAATTCCAAAGAACCAGTTTGGAAATACGTTAGGGGCCATTTGAGCTTTGTTTCCCTTGTAAAAAAAAAAAAAAAAAAAAAAAGAACAAAAATCACACTACATAAAATTTCTGGGCCATTGTGTTGGACCAGCCTTCTGTGCTAGGCCTCAGCAAACCAAGCCACACCAGAATGGAATCTGGTGCTGGGTGCTGGGTGTCATGGAACCGACCCATCTCTAACACAGGCCAGTTTAAAAAAAAAAAAAAATACCGGGACAGTCACAGCAACCCATGAAAAGGGGCAGTTTACCTAAGCCAGTATCCCAAGGAAGTCCCCACCACCTTAATCCTGAAAGGAAAGTAAGTTTAAACCTGCCAACCCACTTTCTGCGCCTCCAGCCCTCTTGTGTGTACTCTTAGCCCACTTCGTCTGCTCAGAGGAATCTCACTCTAATGTTTCAGAATACTATGTTGTCTGGTCCAT